GATAATAAATACATGTTTCCTGATGATTTAAGCTCAAGCTGGTGAATTAAAGCCAGCTTCTGTTGGTTTTAAGTGTTTTTGATCAATCACAAATTTAAGTGTTACTGCCGTTAGCATTTAGCATACAGCTAATACTTTTATGTACAGAAAATAAACGTACTTCAGCCGGTTTCTTGGGGTAGGGGGTTTCAGGTTTGCAGAAAGAGGTAGAGGGACCTAAAGAAAGAGGGTGTGAATAAAAGCGCAGCAGAAATAAAATTACTTTAAATTGTTTATCTTATGTGTTTAGCACATTAGACAGAAGACTTACTCTCATTGTCAGAACTGTCTGCTGGAGGAATGGAAACGTTTCATCCTGTAACATCCTGACGAAGAGGAGGAAAAACATGTCAATGTAAGTTTTATTGGGAACAAATCGTATTTTTATGATTATCAGGATAATTTTGACAGGGAAGCTTCCTGTAGGTTTCCGTTAACATAAAGTCACTGTTGGGGGCTGTTTGCCCATTCCTCCTTAGGAGGGTTTTTGGCAGGATTGTCAATTACGGCGATTACAATAGGGTCTTCGCCGACCTCTGGTCTCAGACCCTAATAACAGCTGTTGTTCCCAGACCTCATCTTTTGCACACTAGTTTCTTTGAGGTACAAACATTCATCCATGCATTATTAGTTTATGAAAGCCTGCGTAACACAACCGCTGTTTGTGCATCTTAATTGAAACATGTCACATCCTACACAAACACAACAGAGGAACAGATTATATGTCTGTATTTATTTTCATCAGAACACAATTTTAATCATTGTAGCAGTAGTTTTCATACTTTTTGAAAAGATCATGACTTGTGAGACTTTTATAAATCATTTCATCAAAGTTGTTTGTAAAAAAATTAAAGAAGTTACTTGAACTAAAGCATCTATAATATTACAATATACTGGTAGTATAGTAGTAATCATAATAATCATAATCGCAATGATACTTCTATATGACTTTAAACCTTTTTCATTTCTATAATCATAAATCTTTCACACACACAGAACCACAACCTTTCACAATAAGGTCGCGAAGCTGAGGACGAGTCTATTGAGTAAACCTCACCACATTCTCTTTTAACATCAATGATTTCAGACGCTCCAAAGTAAAAAATTAAAATAGAAGAAGAAGAGAAAGAAGAAAGAAACAGCATGACATGAACTAAAATAAAAATACACAAGGAAACCTGGACGCAAAGACATACAGTGTTCAGCATACTAGGGAATGTATTTACAACCAAAAAGGAATGGGCTTCTGCATAGATCCACAGGATAGAGAACTGAACTATTGTGAAAACAGAGAGAGGCTGAGAGGAAGTGAAGAGGGCAATATTTGTGTACATACCATTTGTGTGGTGGGTGCACAGGAGGTAAGGGGCAAGAGGCATACATAGTCTATATGTGCAGGGGAAAAACACAAATGTAGTTTTTGTAGTGTTGTGAAATATGACAGACCATACCCTACGACTGCTACAGACCACTGTCAGGGATGTAGATTGAATCGATAGGACCCTACACAGTTTCTTCTCAGTATAGTGCAGTAAAAAGTGAAAACACACTAGAAATGATATTAACACAGCAGAGTAACTGTTGTGTGCATGCCTGCATTACCAACCAAAGTCATCAAAGATTTACATCAGTCAAATCTAATTTTATTGTCTGGAAGAAACTTTGAAGCGGCATGAAGGACACCACAGCAATCACACCCATGCAACCACAGCCAGGATGGTTTCTGCATGTACAGCAGAAATTAGTTATTGTATGAATATGTCCAGCATTTGGTTTGTGATGGCTGTTGCATCACAGCATGAACTGCTGACATGGTAGGCAGAATGAAATCACATTTATGTCATGAATAGATCCCTTACACATGTTAATGGTGAGTGTGGTTGAGGCTTATGAAATGCAATCCGTTTATTGCTAACATGGCACATTTGTCTAACACTGACTGACCCTATCCTCCTGTTGTCCAGTGTGTTTGGTCATGAAAATCCTAGTTTCATATCAGATCTAAATTTGGTTTATTTGACTTGATAGGCTTTGGCACCAGTTTCAGTTAATTGCACCATCTCATTTCAGAAAAGGGTGTTGGGATATATTCTGAAGGGCATGTGAAAGGAAACAAATAGATACACCCCTACCTTGGTCAGTTTGGGGTCTTAGGCGCTAATACAGTTATTTGACATTGTACATTACAATGAATTTATACTAAAGTCCAGACAGTTTAAAGGCTGCAGTGAATAATGAGTTGACTAATGCATCAGGTGCCTGTAAAGACAGTGGTGGTTTGCCACACCTGTCCCTAAGGCCCCAAGGTCATAGCAGAGCTAATGAGCTCTCCAAAGATCACACAGCAATTAGCAACAGACACAAACACACATTTTTGCATACACACACTCCACACACATGCACACATGCACGCGGACACACATCCACACACAAACATGGACCCATCACCTTTTCCACCAGAGCTCAGCCTTCCTGACTCCTGTGTGTATGAACGTCCTTGTGTGACAGGTCTTCGGCAGCGGTAGCAATATAATATAATAAAAGATATGTCTATCTACTGGTGACCAATAGAGTAGCAGCATTTTTCTATCACCGACTGCGGCCGTCTGAGATGGGCATGGGTGTGCTGTGCTGAATGACAATGATTTGTTAGGTTTTTCATGCAAGCTGGAGTGGTAATGTTCAGAGTGGGGCAGGGTCCAAACACAAAAAAAGGTACAGCGTCAACATAATCCAATATACTGGTTATTTAGACATGTTGTGAATAAAGATGAATTTTGAAAATCCTCATATAAGCTGTATAATAAAGTTCTTGACATCAGATATCAGATTGGACATCTCATTTGAGTAATCAACTTACTTAAGAGTGGAAAAATGCATTAAACAACATCAGTTTATCTTTGATTACCTGATCTCATAGCCTTGTTCATCAAAGGAAAAACAATCTTGAAACTAAAAAGAAGTCAGCCCTTAAAGTCACACCATTCCTTTCTGTTCACACGCTGGTCAACATTTAGAAAATAAACACAAGTGTCAGTTTACTATTATCCAGTTATTCCATTAGTGCTTAAACAAACACACTCCTCTCTGGTTTGTTTCTGTTCTGCAGCAGCGGCCTGTGGAGTGCCTCGGTACTTCAGGTACACACGTTTAAAAGAAACAGGAAATTAGCCATTTTTCACCCTCTGTCTGCTAACAATTTGAATGTGAATGTTGATTATAATGTGTTGTACTGTTTATCTTAATAAGCCCTTTACTTAATGAGACATTAGTTTGATGTTTTTAGGAGAAAGTATGTGACAGTGGGCATGCTACAGGAGCTGATTTGGGATAAGATGTGGAGTGCGGAGTGGGGACAATAAACAAAAGAGGCTGTCATACTCTTGCTCCACATGCAGTTTGTTAACATCCATTACACATTTAGATTCAACAGTCGAAGCAGTTGTCCCCGTGTTGGTGATATGTACCTTGTATTATGGACAGGGGATTTTCCTTCACATAACTGCATGCTACCTTTCCCAGGGATACATTTTATTTTCATCCTATCTGCACGGGAGTTCCAGATATATATATATATATATATATATAACTGGAATATAACCATTATAGTACTTAAAGGCAACATCCAGTCATTATGATTCCTGTGAATGAGAAGGCTTGAGGATAAAATGAAACCACCAGTATTGACATCAGAATTGGTTCGAGGGCAAACAGTAAATTTAGTCTTTTTAAAGCAGTGTTAACAGGAAAAACGTATTTATACTTTAATTGCTGGTTACAGCAGGCCGAAGGGCAAAAAACAAGTCTTTAGAGACAGAAAGACAATTTAGTAATTATTTATGCTCTGGATAACTATTTTGACTGGATAATACCTTTTCAAATCTAATATAACACAAGCTTCTTTGTCAATAACAACAGGGTATCGTATATATTGATCCAGTGATATCTTTTTGATGTCAATAAACTCTGCTGAGCAATGCTATGTGACCACAATCTGAATGGGGTTTTAGTAAAAGGCCTAAAATAAAAGCTTTGGATAAGACAAGCTTAAAAGAGTTTCATGTTTTCTATATGAAATAAAAATAATCCCATCTGTGTTTTATTTTATTTGATTAGCTTCCTGTCCAGTGATTAAACAGGGTTGCTAACAAGTGGCTAAATACCGTTTCATCAACTAGTATTATTGAAAGGAAATTAAACGACAATTACCATAACCAATGTAAAGATTCCCTCCTAACTTTTACATTATATTGACTAAAAGCATTAAACAGGTTCTTTGGCTCTCATTGCATGCTTTTCTATCTTCATTCAAAACACAGCAGAATGCAACCTGAGATGTTTATATTCATATTTCTTATATTACACATATATATTACAGGGGACCTATCATGCAAAATGCACTTGTGTACGTCTTTTATACGTACATGAATATGTGTCCCCGGTGTTCCAGGGAACTCACCAAGTGTCAGAAAACACAACCCTCTCTATTTTCCTCCATACCCAAATCTCTAAAAAAGGGGCTGCAACGGATCTGATAAAAACTGATCCAGATTTGAACACTGTCCTGACGTCAGGACGGTGGCGCTACGGCTATTGGGCCAACTCCACCAATCAGGAGGAGACAGCCACGGACATTGCCGTTCGAAAGCGCTGGAGACGCTGTAGTACATATGCCAGGCCTGTAGATGGTGCTGTTCTGCCCTTATCTGCCCTTACAAACAGAGAGCTAAAAAATGTCAAATTGAGCAAAATGAGGCATGGCTAAAATGCATGATCTGTTTGGTATTTTGCAAAAAAAAAGTATAAATATGCCTTATATAGGTATGGTCCTACACTATATTATTCAAATATAGCATGATAGGTCCACTTTAATATCGTTTGTTATTTCCAAATTGTAATTATGTAACTTTGTTTATTTGGCTCAGCCCTATTGTAGTGTTGGCCTTAAGGTTTAATGATCACTCTGGTTTAATACGTCTTGGATGTTACTTTTATAGTTTTGGCTGTCAGTTTTATTGATAATGATCACATTTTACACAACAAGTTATTGCTGAGATCTGTCAACACGTCCTTAGAATGAGTCCACAAGAGGTCAGATGACACATACTTAGCATATATTATGCTTATTATATATTAAGATATCAGTTTAGCAAGATTAATGTATTTGGCATAAAAACAGAAAGTGAGATATCGTTTGTGATGCTGAAGGAATGCATCCTGGTCAGTTGTGACGTGTTGCATATTTCAGGGTTAACTTTTTCATTGCTTTGGATCTTTTAAAATGGTGTTAATAGGTAAATATTATCTCACGATTCATCCTAGTGTAGGAAAACTGTAAACCTTAGTTTACCCCAGAACTCATTCAGAAGCACATTTGAATCCCATTTTCCCAGTGATTGTGGCCAACACACCAGCACATCAGAGCTAAGTGACATCTGAAAGGGGGTTGGGGGGGGGGGGGGGCACATCAGCCTTTTAACTCGCCTTTTATGATACTTGTCACCAACACACACTCATCCTCACCTGCACACACATTCACACGTGTAAAGACATACAAGTACACCCATGCACACTCGCACACAGTTCAGAAACGCATATCAATCGCAAAGAAACTCGCAGCTAATTATTATTTTAACGTATTATCTGTCTTATTTAGAGAACACATTTTCTTCCTGTATGAGAGAACCAGAAATAAAACTCAAAAAGGATGAACATTAGAAAGAGAATATGATTGTGTTATCCCTTAGTCAGCCAGTGCAACAGAAACCAATAATTGGAACACAGTGTAAAAAAGCGTAGTGAGAGAAACTCAGCCATGGGGAAGCCGGCCTTCCCACTCAACAAAGGCTGTGGCATTGTCCCCTTTCTACCTAAGGGACTGTTGGAGTCCCTTAGTGTGTCTGTTTGTTTTCTTATTTATTTGTTGATTGAATTGTGTGTCTTTCGTCTCCAAGCGTCCCACATTTTCCATTTGCCAGAAAGCGTTGCAGAGTGTCCACAGGCACACAGCTCCAGCCCATCGCACAACTGTGGCTGTATTTTTCCACATCGGTTGCCATGGTGAGGGATTCCCCCACCCGGACAACCTCACCTCCTCCTGGCAGCTCTATCACTCCTCATTGGCAGGGCTCTCCTCCAGAGGCGTGATGGTGGGGAGGCCCAGTCCTGTTGCATTGTGGGATGCAGTGAGGCTGGCAACAGTGTGTAGGAGGACAAGGACCAGCAGGCAGAGTTTGAGCCGGCTGTTACACAGTCTGCAGGCTGCCGATGAGCTGAGGGAGGTTCGGTGCTGGCATGGCGGGTGAGTTCTTTTCAGCGTCCCCCGGGAACGGTTGTCCACTTTCAAGTCCCACCGCACGTCGCAGCACTTTGCATTCGGGTCAACACCTGATGGGTAGTCCTCCAGCAGCCCTGGGGGTTGTTTGAGGGGAAAACAGATCACATTAAGTCCTTTTAAATTCAACCATTTTCAAACTAGCCAAGAGAGCTCAGTGCACCAGAATGTAGAACATGTAAACAAATGGAGAAAAAACACAAGAATAAACATTGTTACCCAACTTTCCAACACAACATCTGTCTTCCAGACATTCACATCAGTTTTAAGTGTCCCTTAAAAATCTTTTTTTTCGTTTTATGCTTTTCTTGATTTGCTTGTATTTAATTGTTTGAAGCTGGAGCTGAAACATTAATTCAAAGTAGTCAAATGACAGAAACTACAGAGAATACTATTGATAGTAAATAACAATTTCTCTCAAAAATGCAAAATACTAAAGCTCCTAAAATATCAACATTTGCTGTTTTTTTTAGTATTTTCCGATAAAAAGTTATGTCTTTGGGAGTTGGGGTCGGGAAAAAAACAAACTTACACACAGGTAAGGTTTAGATAATTTCTTAATAAAAACAAGCCTAATCCTTCAAAATTCAAAAATGGACAAAAGCAGCATTGTTAATATATCAGCCCAAATGATAACAAGAAAAACGGACAAAAACAAAAATCACAAACACTATTTGTATTAGCTTATGCCAAACTGTACATTTAGGTAACCTGATGCTCAACATGACCACCAGGGGGCAGCATTACCTTTGTGATGTGACTGAGTGTCTCAGTATGTTCTGGATGAAAAATAAATCTCACAGTAACACTGCCCCCACTCACCTTCCATGTATGAGGAGAACAACATCTGATTAAGGTTAACCATATATTTAGCATTCAGCTTTGTGTACACATGTGTGTGTGTTTCCACTGCTGCAAACATTATTTCATTGCATTGAATTGCATACACTCAAACTGCTCAGTTGTGCAGCTACCTCTTGGTGCTGTCAGTAATTGGCCACCATGTTGTGGTGTGGTGTAACACCGTGTTTTCTGGTTATTAAACAGAACATCCTGTAACTGTAAAGTCACAAGTGTTTGCTGTGTGGCCATCAGAGGTTGGGTATCGTGTGTGTGTGTGTGTGTGTGTGTGTGTGTGTGTGTGTGTGTGTGTGTGTGTGTGTGTGTGTGTGTGTGTGTGTGTGTGTGTGTGTGTGTGTGTGTGTGTGTGAAAAGTCCACTATTTGGGGAGGTAATGCAGTTTTATCCATGAGTTGTTCAGTACTTTACTAGGCAGCTGCATGTACAGTACTTATCTTAAAACTAGGGTTAAACAAACCAATGAGCTTAAATCAGTCTAAATAATCCATAAACTGTAAGACTTTCTGTTACCTGTGCATATAAAACTTGGGCTGCCTCCATGAATGAGATCATCATTGTCAGGCAGGACGAAGGGGCACCGCTGCTGCACCTCCAGGCAGTACTGACCACAGGGGATTGGCTTACTGCAGTGCATCTGGGTGGTCTGGAAGTACTGAGAACACAGCCAGGGCTTATAAACCATCTAGGTGGGAGACATAGAGGTGAGAGCAGGGGGGAGAGGAAGACAGGTGGAGGGGGTGCAGAGATAGGAAATTGAAGAATTAGGAAGGGTTGCATTGGATGATATACGCATGCACACACTCACATGTACGTAAATCAACCATGACCTCAACAGCTATTGATTCTCACAGGACTGATCAGATATCCTGGTGATCCTGAATTTCACTGTTTAATGAATGTGGATGTTGCTGGGCTATCATCACTTTGACAGTCAATATATACAGTATTAGACCCTCTCACAACGACTCACATATTTCACGTTTACTTTGTCTTGCACAGGATTCCGAATAGGATTTGTTATCTTCAGGTGTTTCACTATGCCCACAAATCAATAGTAAAATAAAATTCAACTGCAACTTATAATTGAATGGGTCTGAATTGAATTCACCTTTCACTACCAAATTGAAAACTGTTTTTAAACAATTTCAACAATCTAAATAATTAATGGTATCAGATGCTGTTAGGTTTGTTTGCAACAATAACGCTTGTTAACACTGAAAGAAGCCAGGCTTATTTTTAGAATTATCATTATTTCCCTATCATGTAATGACACAAATACTGGTGTTAAATTAAATTGTGTTATAAATATGTATTTGAGATTAGTTTAAATATGCATTATATGCATGTGCATGCTCCTAACAGGGCCTGTATTATGTCATGTTGATTTTGTCTGTGTTCATTTCGAAATGTCTTCTCATTACATTACATGTCACTTGTTAGACGCTTTTATCCAAAGCGACTTACATACTCAATACTGTGGGCAATCCCCACAGGAGCAATTTGGGGTGAAGTGTCTTGCCCAGGGACACAACGACTTGCTGACTGCAGTGGGGTTTGAACCTGATCCGAACACCCACACTCAACCCACTGCACCACACGCCTCCCTTCTCACCTATGTTCTCAACTCTATAAGTGCACAAGTGGGGACAAATGATTTACTTCGCACCTATTTTTTTTCTCAATGTGATAAGCTATTTGCATCATGCAGTATTATCACCTGCAGCAATAAACTGGCATTTCCTGTGAAACTCTCCAGGGACTCCTAGTCAAGCTAGCACCTGCTATTAGCTAATCATCACGCCTAAAACAGTGCATCAAACCATAGGTCACATAACTCCCTGCATAGATATGCACTGTAAGTGAGGAATACAAACTGTTCATAAATGTATAAACAGATGTTCGTAATAATTCATATATAATGTTTAATTAACATAATCCATGTTCATGTTCATGTATGCAATAAATGCTCATACAAATTCATGTAGAGCTTCTTATGGATGAATCAGAATCTCTTACATGAAATAAGAGCATTACACAAGCACACCAAATCTAATGATTTTCATTACAAGTCCGAAATATATTCCCTGCAGGGAACAAAACAATTCTTTATGAATGTACACAACAAAAGGTTGCTTTGAACTGAGCTATAAATACATCTGTAAATGTTGACGCAATCTAACCAAGATGTAAAGCTGAGGACAGGGGAAGAACACATTGATGGTACAGAGTGAATTGTACATCCTTTATAGTGAATAACAGACATTGCAGGCTATGTTTTATGACAGAGGTTATAATGATAATGATGTTTGGACTTCATCAAACATAATTAGTAGGTTTCATATTAAAAAAAAATTCCTGAACAATGGAGGAGTTAACAATGGTGGATGATGAGGGATATAAACCTCCTTCGTTTAATCCTGGCAAAAAGGTTTCAAATGATGCAATATGTGATAAAAAACAAGTTTAAAAAAAGAGGATGCATTAGGAAACTATTCTTAGAAATTGTGTATTGTAAGTTTACATGTTGTCATAATAAAGAGATGCTTGACTATTGTCTTTATTGTAAAAAGGTTCCTATTGTCTGCCACTCAAATATCCCTTGGGCTGATAATGGCCACACTGAGATGTCCTTTTGTAGCATCTGTAATGATATAATGCATTATATCATTATCTAAATATTGCTTCAACATAACATGACTGCTCGGATGAATCATCTGTCATGCTTATTGCCGACTGAGAGCCATGTATTATATGCATGACCGAACACGTGCACATACGGACGTCCTGCACACATGCACAGAGTCTGTACAGTAAATTGCTCTGCGCTAATAATTTGATTTGCAGTCGAAGATAAGGTGGGTTTCTGTGGACACCACACACACACATAAATACACACTGCCCTTCTCGCTAATCTACCACTGTATAAATGCCACAAGTGAAAATGTGTAACATGACATCATTTGACATCTTGTGCATACAACAGTAGATGGATATTTCTAAATGATTTACACACTGTGAGTCTGTGTATGTTTGAGTATCAGTGTCCGTGTACGTGTGAAAGTACACAGCAGTCTTTTGCAATATATTTTCCACATCAAGTCCTCGTGTTTCCAGTGCTGTGGATCCTTTAGCTGTCAGCGTGGGGACATAAGGACGAACTGGGGTCGATTCTGCAACGTGTCGCAATACACCAACAATGTCACGGGCAATGAGTGTCAAGTAGAGTCTGTTTTAGTATTTATCAGACATTTTCCCTACTCAGCAGAATACAATGTTGAAGTCAAGGTCTATTTGGTTGCTCTTAAGCTCAGGCATAAATCAAAAATTCAAAAACTGAACAATATATATAATAAAACAAAAGAGATTAACTTTAAACTTCGCCTCAAGGAGGTTAGCCTGACTTTAGCATAACAGAAAAGGTCTTGTGTGAGAGGCAAACATTTTTCCATCCGCTTTTCCATTCCCTTTCATCAGAATTCATGGCAGCGTTTAGTAAAGCTTATTTACAAGGACAAAGAACTACAGTCGGTTTGATCTAGGTGACACTTTGACCATGCAACTTGAACAAAAAAGGGCAAGCGTTCCCTGTAACCTGCAAGTCAGCAGAACATATGTCTGAACTGCAACAGATGTGGGGAAGAAACCATGTCTTTTTTTGGCCCCTTTGCACTCGTTTTCAAGTTAGTAGTGCCCACTGGCTGCTGCTGCATGCACACTGAAGACTGTACTGTCGACCCATGACTAGTTATTTATCATCCTGCTGTCAAATCCCAGAGGAGGAGAAAGAGACATGGAGCGAGAGAGATACGAGGAGTGGCATTATAGAGATAGTGGTAGGATGGACTCTTTCTCTCCTTTATATAACAATATAACAATCTGATGTGTACTCTCGACCGCCTTGGGGAGACAGTAAAATACTGCTTTCTCCTCAGCGAGTTAGAGGTCGCCAGCTGGCTCTCAAAACTTTATTCTCCTTTCTTCTGTCACCTTTTACTTCCTTTAACATCTCCCACTTGCTTTTGCTGTCTGAACTCCTCCCCCTCCAGTTTTGTGTCATCTTTCCCATGGAGGGTGTGACTGTGGCTGGGGGTGTTTCTCAATCGCGAGTAAAGCTGCTTCAGAGCCACTATTTCAAGCATACTACGTCATCGAGTGCCGCCGAAGTACTGTTCCAATCTCCAGCATACTTGGAAATCTACCGAGCCCGGCGTACTCCGTTTGGAGAAATATCGAGGCTGCACATGAGTAGACTCCGCGGTCTTAAAATCCCCACAATGCTTTGCGCACGGACCAATTTCCCTAAATCTGTGGCGGAAGATGTAAGGCGGGGCTTCTCATATGACGCACACCTGCACACTTGCTAGCGTGTTCCACACTTCGTTTTCCGAATGCCAGGAAGTATTCTTGACTCTCTTCTGAAGCAAGATGCTCGGCAGACATGTGCTACCAAGCAAGCGTACTCGCGATTGAGAAACACCCACAGTGTCCCAAAACCCACCTCATTGTTTGATTTGCTAGTGATACTTTTACCGTAAAGTCTCAAATGGAAGCACACGTGAAAAGAATAAGAAATGTATTTTCATCACTGTTGGCAAACATCAATGTGATACAGTGGATCGCAACACTGATTTATTAATTGAGTATTTATTTATCAATAAATAGTGCACAATAATTAACACAAGTATGACATCACATCAGTATGACAGCATAGTCACATGATAATCTCTGGTCTATTTTTTATTTCTTGATATTTCCATCCTTTCTCTGCATTTGTATGCACATTGCGTCGGATAACAGCAAAGTGGGTTACATGTAATGCATAGAAATGAATAGATTTAATGTAAATACTTTCATAGGGGGAAATTAAGATAAACAAATGTATAAGCACAGTTGGACTTTAGGTTAAATGTTCTCCAAGTGCCTTAGTTGGTCACAAAACCCAATTTCCAGACTTAATGCTTTAGTTCAGTTACAATCTCTTTGCAAAACCCAGATATATCTATAGGTGGCATGAACGCAATCAAAGTCAACGGAAACAATACAGTGGATAGGAACAGATGCATATTTGCTTTAGGCATTTTAGGTGAAAACACATGTGCTAAAGGGCAAAAATTACAACCAAAACTTCAACGAATATGTGTTGCTGTCTGAATTGTGTGACGACATGAATATACAAAGACCACAGACTGCATAAAGATGGATATCAGCGGAGTGGTTGTTCACCAATAGGGAGGACGGAGTTTCGATCCCCGGGCCCCTGCGGTCAACTTGTCTAAGTGTGGGCAAGATACTGAACTCCAAATTGGTCCCTATGGCATAGCTGTGTGTGTGTGTGTGTGTGTGTGTGTGTGTGTGTGTGTGTGTGTGTGTGTGTGTGTGTGTGTGTGTGTGTGTGTGTGTGTGTGTGTGAAGATGTATCACTCCTTGAAAAAAGGTGAAAGCCTCTGCCTGCAACTGGGTTGTAAAACTACTTTGAGAAGTCGCAAAAACTAGAAAAGCACAGTATAAATGCAGTCCATAAGAGAGGGTCTTGATGAATCGTGTCTGTGTATTTTATACAATCACACATTGAGGATGTGTTTAGTGTAAGTGTGTTGGTAAATTGCTCACTGATCATGGTTAATAGACTAAAAGGGGTCAAAGAAAGTTTGAATATAAAAAAAAAGGACAGTTAAAATGATT